CGGGGGGGTTGGGGAATGAACCAAACCCCTAGGAGAACAAACCATTTAAAGTATAAATATTTTTCTTTGCAATATCAAAAACCCCGAAAAAGTTTTAAAAAATTACCTTGCCCCCATAAAAAGTAGGGAAACTATCCGAAAGGGGACAGATACAAGCTTTCGCTGGGTTTTAAAAGTGGGAAATTTTTCCCCAAATTTTCTAGTCTAAATTTAAAACTTCCTGCATGCAAATTGTGCTGAAAAAGTGCCTAAAGGTAGACCCCCGGAAAAAGGACATCTGGAATTTCCTTTTTTATTCTGGAACGCATTATTTGTATACTTCACAGTTAAATACAGTTAATTACTGGTTAATAAAATATGATGACAATAATTTAAAAAAATCACTTTTAAGCTATTGCTGATTTAAAATTTACTTACATTAATATTTATTTTCACGAATACGCCATATATTCCCAACTTTATTTTCTTACAACAGCTAAACAATGGATGACCCCTGTCACTTGTTATGCAATTATCCAATAAACCATTTAGGTGTAACCTTCCCTTGCCTCTCTGGTCATAATGTATAATGCATTAGAAGTGCACATGATGTGCATTTCTAGTTAAGCTCTAGTGCAATAGAAATGTGCAAGGGTTGGGGGCTTATTGTGAACTCAACATTATTTATTTATTGCGTTCCTGTCATACGTTCTTGTTTAATTTGATTGCACACACAGTTGAACATTTACAGAGAAAATCACGCGAGCATCATCGTTCTTGCACATTTTTAATATGCGTGACCAAGGACACTATGTCAATTTACATTTTTTAAGATAAAATTGCTAAACTGAACAAAAAAAAATTAATAAAACTTCTGTATAAAAATTACTGTATAGTACGTTTAGTTCGATCAATCAAACAAAACTTCTATACAAAAGCAAATTTCATAAGATAGAAAAATCATGTTACAACTAATCTATGACAAAAATGGTTTTGGTCCCTGATCTTAATATGAAAATATATTTTTTTTTGTAAATTTTGTTTGGTCAACCTTAGAGAAAAAAGATGTTAAGAAATCCTGTTCAAGAATTCCCGTAAAAGACATTTTGTGAAAATATAAAAATTTACATTAAAAAAAATCATAGAAATCCTGTTCAAGAATTCATGTCTAAGTTATTTGTTTGGTCAACCGAACAAAAAATTACGATACAAAATCCTGTTTAAGAATTCCTGTGTAAGATATTTGTCCGGTGGCCCGAACAAAAAATACGATATAAAAATCCTGTATAAGACATTTGTGTCGGTCAATTGAAACAAAATTGCTTTGCAATGGAAAATTCCATCAGATCAAAAAGACATGTTACATCTAATGAAAATTCAAAAATTGACATTTTATACTTTTGACAGAACGAAAAAAAATCATAAAAGTCCTGTACAAGGATTCCTGTGTAAGATATTTATTCGGTCGACCTAATCAAAAAATTATGATAAAAAATCATGTTCAAGAATTCCTGTATTCATACTAAGTCAAGGGCAATAACTCTAATAAAACTGAAAAAATTCACATGCAATATCCCAGGTGCTTAGCTTCACAGTGATGTTGATCATTACGCCTCAACAAATGATTTAAAAAAAATATTAAGTTGGTTGATTCTAACTCAAGCACTCAAGGAATAAATAACACAACATAATGAAACGGTGTTTACAAAATCAAGGGCAATAACTATGACAAAAGATATAAATTAATTCACAAGCCAAATCCCAAGTGCCAAACTTCAAATGCTAAACAACATTTCTGTAAAGATTCACGACTCTAGGTTAAATACATTTTGAGCTATGCACGACAGAAGTTGAACATTGCAAATTTTTTGCTAATTGAAGGACAAACATTCTACAAATACTAAATAAATTAACACGAAAATACCCAGGTGCACAACTTCACATGTTGATCAACATTCCTGTAAAGTTTCATGCTGATTGACAACAGTCAAGGGACTAGTCAACAGATTAAATCCACAAGTATAACCCCAGGTGCAAAACTTTACTTGCTGATCAACATTCCTGTAAAGTTTCATGACTCTAGGTCAAATATTTCTTGAATTACTCGACACAAATTAGAAATTGCAAATTTTTACTAAGTCAAGGGCAATAACTCTACAAATTCTAAATATATGAAAATGAAATTACACATGAAAATACCAATGGAAATACCTTGAGTTACGTTCGACACAAATTGAAAATTGCAACTTTTTATTAAGTCAAGGACAACAACTCAAAATATACTACATATATCCACGGTGCACAACTACCTAATGTATTTTTTGTTCGATCGACCTAACAAATATCTTACACAAGAATTCTTAAACAGAATTTTTTTATCCTAATTATTTTTTTCGGTCGACCAAACAAATATCTTGAACAAGAATTCTTTGACAGGATATTTTATTTAATTATTTTGTTTAGTCGACCTTACAAATATCTAACAAATGAAATCTTTCAACAGAAAACAGATTTTTTAATCGAATTTTTTTTCGGTCAACTAAAAAAGCATATTACATAGGAATTCTTGCACAGTATTTTAATGATTTTTTTCGTTCGTTCAAAAAAATATTTTTTCAATCTTTATTGGATGTAACATCTAATGAAATTAGATTTAATGAAATTGTCCATTGTTAAGAATTTTCGTTTCAATTGACCGATAAAAATGCCTGATACAGGGTTTTTATATCGTATTTTTTTGTTCGGGCCACCAGACAAATATCTTATACAGGAATTCTTGAACAGGATTTTTATCGTAAGTTTTTGTTCAATTTGGACCCAATGACGGCTATAAAATAAGCCAAAAAAAATCCCTGATTATATATGTTTTCATCAGATCAGGGACCAAAAACATTTTTGTCATTTTTCTATCTCATGAAATATGCTTTTTGTATAGAAGTTTTGTTCGATTGATCAAACAAACCGTACTTAACAGTTATTTTGAAACAGAATTTTTATTGTTTTTGTATTTGTTCGGTTTAGCAATTATAACATTTTATAACACATTCTCTGTGAATGTGTATGCAGTCAAATTAAACAAGAACGTTTCTGTTAAGTTTCATGACTCTAGGTCAAATACTTTTTAAACTACGTACGACACAAGCTGAAAATTGCCAAATTTTACAAAGTCAAGGGCAATAACTCTACAAATACTAAATAAATCCACATAAAATACACAGGTACACATGCTAAGCAACATTCCTGTAAAGTTTCATGACTGTAGGTTAATTATTTTTACTATGTGCGACACTAAATAAGAACCTAAAGTTTCATGACTGTAGGTTAAATACTTTTTTTAGCTACGTGCGACACAAAGTAAAATAAGAACGACGGGTGGACGGACGGAAAAGGGTAAATCAAAATGCTCCCCTTTAAGTTGGGGCACAGTTGTAAATTTTAAACATTTGCTTACTGTCAATATTTCAGATCTTAGTTTTAATTTTTTCCTTAAATTTAAATATATTTTTCTACCATTGCTTATAGAATATATATTCCAACACAAAAAAGGGTCAGTGTCACATATAATAGACGCCTTTTCATGTTGATGATTCAAATCTGTTGTCGTTTTAATTTACAGGAAGTTTTCATTTAATCTAGTTGAAATTAATTTTGTCAAACGTATTAATGGGCACATGCTTTTTGGAGTAAAGTGATTCTTGCTTATAGATAAATCATAGCCAGAATTACCTTGATATGTTACCCTGTCGCCAATATTGAAAGTTGCAAGCGCTTGTGGATTGGAATAAATCGCGTGATTCACTCTAGGCGGACTGTTACATACAATACGATTACATATTGGTGGAGCTTGAGACCATTGTTTACTTCCTAAGCACAAAAGTGAAGCTTCTCCTTCCATAGTAAAGCCATTTTCACAGGAATATGTCACAGTATCTTGGAAAAAGAACGAGTTTCCCGTGTAGAACCCGTTGTCAACTGAAGGTGGTGCAGGACATTTAATTTTATTACAAACCGGCGATTGATTTTGCCACTTCCCAGTTTCGCGACATATTCTTTCCTCGGGTCCGTCTAATTCGTATCCAACATCACAAACATAACGAATAATGTTGTTTAACGTATAGTCCCTGCCTTTCCACTGTCCATTTTCTATGATTTCTGGTTTGCCACATGACACCGGTTTACACGCAGGAGCTGTGCCACTCCAGAATGTATCTGCCTGACATTGTCGTTGCTCATCCCCGCCAGTAAGTACATATCCTAGATCACATTTATAGCTAACGGTTTTTTTGTATGTCAATACGTCGCCTTCGAAATGCCCGTGCAGTATATCATCGGGCTGTCCGCATTGCACAGGAATGCATTCAGGTGCTGCAATACTCCAGTCTCCAAGTTCGAAACACTCCAAGACATCCGTGTGTGAAAGGTCATACCCTTGATCACAACTATAGCGTACCTGCGATAGGAATGTGTTTCCAGTTTTCTGATATTGACCATGTGGTATGTCGATTGGATCCCGGCACGTCACAACCACGCATTCCGGAAGATTGGCTTCCCATTTTGCTGTGGCGAGGCAGTTAACTTTACCTGTTGGGTTCTGACTGTTTCTTGAAAGTGTATATCCGAAAGTGCATTTATATTGTGCCGTAAAGGCAACAGGAAACTCTTCTAGTTTTGCATCATTTGGAAATATCCCATTTTCTATTTTCGGCGGGGGTCCACATTTCTGCGGATCACAAGTCGGGATACTCATGTCAAATGTTCCATCGTCTTGGCAATAGACAGATGTGTGTTCAGTGAAGAACTCATTTCCTTCTTTACACTCAAAAAATACGTCTGTGTCAGGAGCGTATTTGTTATCATCTGTAGGATTTGTCACGAGTGTGTTTTCTGACAGCCTCGGAATTTTGCACTTTATTTCTGGAAAACAAAACGATACGTATAGTTTGTATTTAAAATGTTTTAAGTCTTTTACATTTTTATAAGCATTTAGCACTATTCAAGGTCCTAATTAAAGAACAAGAGTCCGCCAAGCGAGCGATAAAAAACGCACGGAAGCACGAACATGTTGGATTGTACTGACGGAACTCTACATTTGTTTTAATAACGTAACAACGTTATATGGCCTTAAATAAAATAATATAGCATCAGATAACACTATAACATATTAGAATAATGCAAATGAATTCATAGAATTTTGATTGGCTTGCAAGCTTTGTATATTGTGCCATATATACCATGAAGCACGGAAACACACGAATAATAAAGTTTTCAGCATCGTAGACTGTTAACAACGCGGTCGCTAACAAAATAAAGTGGCCATCAAAGTATAAATTATCAGTGGACATTTCTATAAATATCGCTTACGTTACAATTCTTAAATAAGAGGGGGCAGTCTCTTTATATTTAGGTTGTTTTTATGTTCATATTCAAATTTTCTTCATTATAATTATTGGTAAAATCAACATGATAATAGTTAATCCTTGAGTGTAATATAAAACTAATTCAACCCAATTTTGACAGCGAAAGATTGAGCATAATGTCACTGTGTTGCGTTTTCTTCACTATGGCATATTTCTCTATTCAACAGTATTACTTTCTGAGAAGTTGTTGTAACCACATTGACGGCTTTTATACAGAATTTAAATTAATTTGTTTGCGTTATTTTATTTGATATTTAAAGAACTTGTTGACAACAATAAGATTTTGGCATTTTCTTATGGATTCATTATGCAGAATTATGACATATTGACATCATTCAAGCTATATAATCATGTAAATACCAATAGCAGCTTGTATAAGTAAAAACATACTACTACTGTAACGTCACAGCATAACATAAAATGCCGTGACGTAACAACATAATATAACACCACGATTTGCAATAAAAACGAGTTTTGCAAATTAAATTCATTGCAGAACTGGTTCTGGTGACAAAAGTCTGTCGCCACTGTCTCCAAATCAGTTTTGCAATAAAACCTAAGAGACTATTTTTTCGTTTTTCGTGAAAATATGGAATATATTTTCACGAGCCGGAACGGCGAGTGAAACATATAGAATTTTATCATATCAAGTGAAAATATATTCCATAATTCACGAAAAACGAAAAATTATTTTTTTTTATTTAATTTAACTTTCAGGAAAAAAGTTGTTTACAAATACACCTATATGCTATGCAGTTGAAAGTGTACAGCGCGTAGAAAGACATTGATTATTTAAAGGTGCGTGGCGCGGTTAGAATTCAATACACTATTTATCACTATTTATCAAAGTCAAAACTGTCTTGAAAAAACATAACCAGATAATTTCCGATGATGAAATGAATGAATATCTGTTGCAAAAGAAAAATATCTGAGAAAGAAGTCCCAAAAATAAAATACTAGTTTTGGCTCGGCCAACCTTCATATTTATTTTTCATATTTGTTTGACAAATATATTTGGCTGAAATAGCAGCTTATTCAAGGGTTGAATTAAATATTGTTATATAATTTTTTAATATAAGTAGTTCAATTCAAAAATATTATTCAACATTTGAGCCGCGTCATGACAAAAAACAACATAGTGCGTTTTGCGACCAGCATGCATCCGCGCAGTCTGATCAGGATCAATGCTGTTCGCTATCAATTTCTCTACTTGTAATATGGTTGGTAAGCGAACAGCATGTATCCTGATCAGAACGCGGATGCGCAGGCTGGTCTGGATCCATGCTGGTCGCAAACCCATTCTGTTGGTTTTGTCATGGCATGGCTCATTTGTTTCTATCCGAAAAAAAGTTCTACTCAGGTGCCCGTTTGTGCCTGAAATTATGCACGGAGGGGCACCTGATGTCTTCCTCCACCAGTAAGCTGGAACGTCGCGATATGACCTATACTGAGTCGATGTGACGTAAACACCAATAAAAAACTGTCCGAAAAAAAAACTCTACATATCTTTGCGTATAATATGTATAATTAGTGGTTTGAAAGAGTATCAGCTCATCTTTATTATCCTTAAACTAATGAAGTTTTGCAATACTTTTTGCCAACACAACTCGTTTGATGCTTACATGTTCGTGTTATGATTTTGAAACTAACAACTACTTTTCCAAAAAAATAAAAAGAAATGTTTACAATTTTAGTGCAAAACTCACCTCTGTTGCAATAAAAAGGGGAGAAATAAAGAATTTCCAAAAGAAATCGATATCGTGTCCAAAAACAGCAAAATTGTTGTGACAACTAAATCGGTTTCTGATTTCGAAACTTTTGGTAAACTACTTTTAAATTGATCTGTAAACCTAGCATGATTGTGTTAATTGACCTTTTTGATAACCGTGGGCTAAGTAGAGTTGCCGTTACGGTCAGATAATTCCTCTGGGAATAGTCAGCGTGAACTAATAAGAACAAAAAATTTAGTGATATTTTAATTTTCTTTATTATGATTAGCCGTTTAAGGTTGGAATCTTGAATGATTTGTTAGGAAATATTATGTTTCTTTATTTTATGTCTCCAAATTTTAAAAAATAAATTGTTTATATGAAAATCTACAATTGAAATTTCGTAGTTGGCATTTGCCATTAAATAGAGATATTTTCTGCGTAACTTGTGTGTTTTACTTTATTTATTTATTATTTATTTATTTTGCTCGGATATTCATAAATGGTGGCTATTTAATATGTTCTTAAAAAGGAATATTGTTTATGTTCGCTTCCGGTCATCAACGGTCACCATTTTCCGAAGACCTTTCCATATTGATCTATTTCTGTACAAAGACGATTATTTACCCCCCCCAAAAAAAATAAATATAAATGTTAAATCGTTAAATGACATATTTTTATCACTTAAAATTGTCCGCAGGGAACATTTTACTTGTTTATGTTTTTGATGCCGTCATTATAGAGCATGTCGGATAATTCCACTTTCCGGACATAAGAAATTCAATGAGCATGATGGGGAGAACGGAGATTTGCTAACAGCGCTTTTCAAATAATACTGTTAAAGTTAACCCCAGAAAACGAGGCTTTTAGCAATAAAAGTACCTGTGATGGAATTATTTAAATGTTATTCGGTCCAGTATTTTATGAATTACTTTAGAGATATTTACCCCGCTACATAGCTCGAGTTATTGTGTTATTCTTATAAATTATCGTGGGTTTTTTTCGTTTTCTTTATAAAGTGTACTTATATGCCGAATGGTTTTTTTTTTTATTAAAAATGATGGGACAGTTATACCAACTTAAAAAATAGAACAAAATGTATCCGTTCACAAATAGAATATCGCTTCCGAAGCCAATTCCCCAATTTCTTGTTGCAGGACCAATCATTCGTATCCGCTTTTCACATCTATGTAAGGACCCATTTCTCATTATGGTAAGCTCCTCGTCAGCCGTTTATGTAAGATCCCTCGGATGTCCCTGTACGGTAGTGTCAAACAAATATCTTTATTGATTGTACTTTATGTCTTATTAATAAGATGACACTATTTGTTTAATCGTATTATTTTATTTCTATTTCATTGATTTTTTTTTAATTTTGTTGTGTGTTGTTTTCTTTTGGAGTTATGATTCATGTGTGAACAATTAATTATTGAATTTATTAATAAACGATTAACAAATGAAGACGGTGTTTATGGCCATGTATGGTATTTTTGGTAAAAGTCATGTTTTTTCCGAATAAAAAAATTTTCGCTTACCGATGCCATTAACAAAATGGCGAAAGTATTATCGTAACCATTTACTGTTGCTAAGTAACCAGACCCTTTTTGCAAAATATTCAAACTATAGAATATAGCTTAATATCTATCGATTGAATTAAACTCCTGCACATATGGACATTACCCTCCATTCTCCGTATATACAAAGTTTGTCCTGCGACGTGGTCGTATCCTTTTTTACATCTTACGAGGGCTCTGATCGCGGTCAACCGTGTAGGTCTTGCCTGTATATCATATAGTTTCGGACAGGCTGTAAATTTATGCCGTAGTAAAGGCATTAAATTCAGTTCCGTAAATACTGTCTGATTTATCCTTTTTCAAAAATGTTGTTATTCGAAAATGGATGGTATAGGACTACTGTAAGTTTCCCATTTATTACTAGTTAATAATCAAATATGAACTCAGTCATCTCAACAATAATCATAACTTTTTAATTGTTCCTTATTGAATATTAGTGTGTGCTGTATATTTCTTTTACAACTAATAGTAATAGTGAAATGTTTATGTATTTTTATTTTAAGTGTTGGTCATAATTCAAATGCTGATTGCATGTTTATTAGAGGTACATCTTGTATACAACTGCATATTTCAGCAGTATTGGTGAATATAAACACTTACAGCTAAAATCAACATTCTTTAGTTTGATAGGTAATGATTACGCTTAAAACGCAACGCTAAACGCTTTGGTTTAACTACCGACACACAGCTTTAATACCCAACACAGCTTTAATACGGAACACAGTTCAATACGAACACGCTTTAATACAACACCACTTGTTAATACGATACGATTTCAGTGATTTATAGAGTTCTAACGTTTTTAGATCGAACATTATTTTTATGATAAAAGTATAGAGGTATTGTTACTATATGTCGACATTTTCGTTTGCCAGTTGCAAAAATCGGTCGTTATATTCTTTTACCTTTACAAATCGCAGGTGATCAGAGACGGGCTTATTGTTTGTCCCGGATATATCCGCCAGGCTTAGACGTACCCATTTCTGACGAAATTTATTGCGTAGTCATTCGAATATCTCTTAGGGACGATTTATCACAATGTTCAGTGAGTAATTTGGCAATAAATGCTTCGGGACTGGAACCGCACCTAATATCTTGGTTCTGTCATTGATTGTCACCTTTATAAGAAAACATTCTTTTGAAAGTGTTTACTTTTTGTTAATTTAATCAAAGAACTACAGATAGGGTGGCTGTCTCACAAATAGTCCGTGAAGTAATAATTTTTCAAACAATTGATATTAGTCTCATTACGCAAAAAATGAAAAATGTATTACGCTTATATCTGTCTGTAAAAATTGTATTGAATTTTGACATTCCTTACATTCTTACTTACACACTTCTGTAATTTGTTTGCAAGAAATTCAGTTAGAGTATGCGCATTGTAACGGTAATCTTCTTCTGAAAATAGCACAAATTTTCTTAGCATTCATAGTTCGCGTTTCTGCTTCACGGTTATACAATGGTGATGACAGCCAGTGTCATGGTTGCGCATAGTTCTATGAAATTAGGCTTAACGTTAGGTCATTGCACACTCAGTTAATTTTTAGATATGTCATTCCTCATCATTTAGCCAGTATAGTCTTGTCAACACACTTGTTTTTAATATGCCAAGGTTGCGCCACAATAGGTATTTAGAAAATATCGATTTCATGACATGCTTGTTAATTATTAATTATTAAAGGGGTTTTTTCAGTTTCTTTTTCTGCGGTTGACAGTTTAAGAATAGTTATACATTAAAAGTGAAATATATTTACTTTGTGCAAGTTTATGCTGCATAAGTTGCACTGTTTTATGCAATTGGAAGATGACTTCTTTAGCGACGTTGACTTGCAATTTAAAATGCAAAGTGTAGATTTCAATTTGATAAAATACAATAGTATCGTTATTGTTTAAATGGAGCTAGAATCTAAAAAAGAGCATTTATAAGCTTCGTTCAATCCTTTTATTTTTATTGGTTGTATCTGTAGATCTGTATTTTACTGCGAATTTGTAGTGCAATGTGGAAAAATGTTTGACTATTAATTATTTAATGATTTTATTTATGATGATCTGCTGCTGTGCTTTTTGTGGGGTATTAGTTTCTTGGAGTTGAGAGATGATTGTTAGTGGAGTTGTTAAAATTTGCTTTAAGACTGTTGATAGTATTAATTGTGAGCATATATTTTTAATTGATTTTATAATATGCTTTCATTATTGATCTATTTAAAAGATAAGGTTCTAATGTTGGACTATTCAGCGAAGAGTGTTTTAGGCGATTTCTGTTTAAACAATATTTTGTAACAAAAGGCCAAGCCTTTTTAATGAACTTTGAACCGTGAATGAAATTTTGCTGAATCGACCGATTATTCTAATCTGACGACTGACGAAATGCTGATATGTTTGCTTTTGTCGCAGTGACAATATTAGAAGTTCTTCCTTTCTGATATGAACATTTTAAAATCTTTCAGCTGTAAAAGATTTCTTCGCTGTTCTTTTTAAGAGCAAATTGTTCGGATTATTCTTTGGTTTCGGCAGATTATTTTGGAACTGGCAACACTTCAGTTGATATTAATGGACTGACAATGCCATTCTAAATGTTTATTTGCCGTAACAGAACAGCTTATTTATATGATACTTCATCAATTAACAGACGTATATACCGAACTTAACATGTTATTACTAGCTGTTGAGTTTCAGTGCATTATTTCAAGCACGAGCAATTAGCCGATTGTAAAACTTCTTAAGACTATGGAGGAGTATTATGTTGTTCCACAAATTGAATTCATTTTTTTTAATAGAATGTAAAATATTAATTTATGTCTTGTTAACCTGATCAATATCTCTAGGCATGTTCTTCAATTGTTTTTCAAAAGTCAGTATTTCAATGTTAAAATATTTTTTTATGTTGACTAGTACTACGTGACGTCATTTCAAAATGACAGCGCCCATATGACGTCCTTTACGGGTTTGCTAATTGTGTGAATGTACTCGGAATTATAAAAATTTGATTAATTATTTATTACCGTTCATATCTAATTGATTATCTGAAAAATGAGAACGAAGTGGTTTCAAAAGGAAATTTCAAGTAACTTGGTTTAATTAATCCCAATTAAAAATCATTTGATGAATACAGTAACAATATAGTTAATAAGACCCTGCGCATTTGAAAGACAAGACGAGGGCAGTAATTGCGAGCAAGCGTTCCCGATTAAAAAGTGGGAAAATATTTTGCAATGTTCCGTGATATTAATTAAAAAAAAATCATAATACCTTTGATGTTTGTCCATTCGACAGCCTTCTGCCACTCTGGTCCATTTGGAATTCCGTTGTAGGTTTCCATTGACCTCGATTGACTCCCAATGAGCAGACATGATGCCAGTTTCATGTGTTTCTGCTTGCGTTCGTGTTCTTTTTTCACATTCGCAATAACGCAACCTTGAAACAATGATATGAAAACGTTTTTGGTATCAGGTAGTCTTATAGCATTTAAAAATCGGGAAATTTTGTGTTACGTGCAATCATCAGTTTTCGGAAAAGCATGAAAACAATTACAAAAAAAGAAATAGTTGAAGTGAGATTGGTTTTTGTGTTATTCTGACATGAAAGTGAAAATTCTCCGCCGTCTCCCAGCACCGACTTTGCCGCCCGTCTCTCCGCGCGTCTGGAAAATTTAATACTCAACTGGCAGTTGACCAGCGCCTTGTTAATTGTTTATTCACTGTGAAATGGGTTTATATTGACAAGTGTCGATTTTAAATATAAGTAATATTTGACAATGAACTTTTCCTCTTTTTCAATTCTTGGTAAATGTGTAAATATTGTCTCTTCTGAAGTACGAAACCCGTCTATATTTCTTTTTGATTTCTTTACCCGTCATAGTCGTCAGGGTGAACATTGTTGTCGCCATCGTATTTGCATAGGGAATGGTGTGCCTGGTTTTGTGGGTCTTTTTTCTCAAAGAGCGTAGTTGCAGACGTAAGTTTGTTTCTTCACACTGCGTGTTAGATGGTGACGTGACCGTGCGGAAACAAGTTGGGAAGTTGTATCCCCCCGGACCTGTAACAATTTTTCTTCTGGTTGGCAATCTTTACATTACTTTTTTAACCCCCCCATTTAGTAATGTTGCCCGTTTTTCTTTGTTATTGTTTTAATGTTGTTGTTTATTTTTTTGCAAATAAGGGAAGATTTAAATGATGTAATTTGCTTTTTTGAAGTTACAAAAAATTCTAACAACTATTATTTTTCTTTTTCGTATGTAAAGTGTTCCCGGTATTAAAGAGATATCTGAACTTTTCACATTAAACTTTCCTAGATATGGTCTGTATGGTTGTAGTTTATTTATAAGTTTTCTTCCACAGTTCGAATAGCATTTCAAATTGGTTTTAGCTAATTGTTGTTGTCTTAGGATTTTAGGATAAACTGATACTCATGAGTAACGATGTGCGATTACAAAACAGATGGTTGTAGAACAAATCTTGTGTCGCAGTTTTTCGTTGGACCAGTGACATTTTAACTTACCAATCAAATCTCGCTTAGTCCGTATGGCAGGATTGCCTCGCTTTCGTCGTGTTAGTACGCTTCTTATGTTTAAAACGTATTTACATGCAGCTCATTTATAAACAGAACAATTCATACCGAATATTTCCAACATAGAGATGATACTCATCTATACAAAGATGCCAGTTTTGTTTGTTGTGTTGTGGCATAGTTAAGACTTGATAATAATTAGAACCATATTTGAAAAGATAATAAGTTTTAATTTCATCATATGATAGTTACTGTCGAGGAACATTTGTATATTTTGAATAATTGACACTAAATAATTGAATTATTATGATTAATGAATTTTTTTTTATAACAAATATCAATCAATATATATTTTCAAGGGTATTTATCATTTCATTTCAAAATTTGCAAAGTTAAGTTGATTTTAAAAAGTGCTATTTGGGGGTATCTGCGTATATTAGCCATGTATATATCTAAGAGCACTGAAGCCACAATGTTCTTTTAAAATTGAGACGAAATGATTTTGATTTATATATGCTGTGAACTATTACCTGTATAAGATACTTTCCTTATGAATTAAGAGGATTGCAAGATATCAAGGGCTATAACTTAACCACGTGACAATTATTAAATGTTACGAAAGTTTATCTATTTTAAAAAGATATCTGACCTAAACAGAGACTTACATATCTCAGTACGAAGAAGAATGATTTAATGTTCTACCAAAACAAGAATTTAAAGTTAATTCTACATTTTAGCATATTGTAACCAATATACATACTGTGCTCTTTTGCCAATTGATTAGGTTAATCTCAAATAACATTATATTATTTTTCTTGTGACTAGTACATATATGGCTAAAGGAACCTTTGGGTTTAATGTCAGTAAACATCATGCACACTCAATTTTTCCAATATCATTAATGGAATATAGTGATCACTGATTAAAATGGCGTTTCATAATTTGTGAAATAAATTGACTCATGACTTAAAACTTGCAGTCAATCCTTAATTGCCCGTCTTCTGACAAAGTCCTAGCACGAATCATATGTCAATCTACATGCTCTCCCTTGATTCCCTCGGCACTTTACCTCATTCGGACCATATCGTAATTGTGCCCGCCATTTGAACACGGCCGTGACTCGCATTCGTTAATATTAATTCAACATAGAATAACATTAGCTCAACATTGCAAATAGATGCTAGTATTTTTCAGATTTTGTTAAAATTTGAAATATGACAATGTATAAGGAAGCAAAAATTGCTTTATATAGTTTACGTTGTTTTACGATCAGGATAAAGATAATAAATGCTCCCTTAATGGAAACGGCGTTAATCATTATTCAGGTACAATACCTTGTTATTCCATATTATATTAGAATCTTTTGAATATTCTTGAATTTAATCGCCATTAACCCCAAGTGCCCGTTGGTGAAATGGGAAGTTAAAAACATATTTTGAACAGAGATACAGAAATGTTCATCTTCATTTCAACCTAAAACTATATACGAATGAAATCTTTAGCTATTTCTATTAATTTCATTATCATCAGTTTCTTTCCCAAAAAAGGATAACGAACTTTCCAATAAATTCATGTTCACCTTTTGACTTTTGACCTGAATGGCGGATTAATCATATCAGTCTGTAGTTGATATAAATGAAGACTTTTTTCCAAAACACGTTATACAAGTCATTGTGCCTTACTTTAAGTTTTATGATATTATTCAGGCCACAGTGATCTCGACCTTGTCACGGCATGGGTGTGGCGTAAAACTAATAAAGTGCCAGCTACGTAAAAAATTGAAATTCTAGCAAATCGTTTGATATTTATGATTTATGTTATATACCCAAACTTGCCTTTGGACTTTCACCTGAAATATGGTTTGATTGCAACCACATCAAGATGTTCACATGATAAAGTATTCTCTTTGTTTATGTTGTTCTATTTGATGTAATGACCTAAACGAAACTAATTTAAGTGAACAAACGCCCAGCGCAGTTTTTAATGACAAAAAAATGTTTAGACAAATAATTAATGGGAGTGTTAATTAATTTTTATCTTCAAACGTGTGGCACTGCCGAGAATCGCTGTGTTATCATACGTGCCGCATTTCACCGTGAACACGATACGTCGTCAATATCTGCCTCAATTTCTTTCCTAGAAATTATCAGATAAATCGTCAACAATGTTCACGTAGTATTCGTATTTTATCTCTCCATGGCATTTTAGCTGTGCAATGCACAAGATATCAATTTCTTTTTTAGGAGTGGTAAGAATTAAATATTTATTCTATATTTCTTCTTATATTTATTTACATGATAATATGGATCGCAAAACTTTTATTAATTTATTTTATAATGTTACAGCTACATAAACACATGTGAATGAGTCTACTGTACAACCCGGATTGGCACGTGCATTGTTTAGTCTGACAGATCTGTTGCACGTGCACGTTTTGCAAGGGTAAATCCTGTTGGATTGTTTTCTACAGTGCACACTATGGATAAAAAATACTGTAGAAGGTAAAAACTATTAAATTGTTATTACTTTTGAAAAATGTGTCTTTTTAAATTCTTTCACTGATGTTATGCTTATTTACATTCCTATGTGTATTTTTGATAACCTCATTGAAGTTTGTCTTTTTGTTGTTTTGTTTGTTTTGGTTCCGAGGTAGTTTACCAAGATAACTTTAGCGTTGACTTAATGCCAGAGTTAGAAAAACAAAGATTTGATATTTAGAGTATTATATTTTTTATGTTTTGTTTTCCAAATGTTTTTATGTCTTTAAAATGGACTTTCATGTGTTTCGACATTATTAAAGATATTATATATAGTATTATATATATATAATATTATTATAGCTTATATATAGTTATATTATCATTATATATTTATATATTTAGATAAAATGTATTTTTGTCGTTCATTTATTTGATTCTTTTATTTAATTTTTTTTGATAGTCTTCTTAAGCTACTATGTCACCATTTGCGACTAAAGTATTAAAAAACCCATTCACACAACTTAGGATGCAGAACGAACCTTTATTCGACTTGTAAAATTTCGTCTACATTTCAATCAAAATATATTTAAATAACAAGTAAAAAATTGTGGGAAATGTTGATTTGTCCGGCGAAAAAAAGAAAATACAAAAAAACAGTTATAAGTAAATGTTAGGTATTCCACTGCATTGAGGTATTACAGGTGAATTGTTGTAAAAGGTTTTTAGTATTGTTAATGTAATTGTACCAGAGGCTGTTATGTAGTAGGCAGAATTAATTTAGTCTTCTTGTGTACTGCACTCTTGAGCTGAGATCTCCAATATGAAGATCTTATTTGATTCTCAAAGGCTTTTGGTTTGTCTGGACGATTAGTTATGAAAGTACAAAGGCATACCTGAAAATAATGCACGGTAGGTGTGTGCGCATCTCTCAATGAGATTTATCACCTATAGTTTCACGTTGTCTCTACACTGTTTGAATAAGTCGGACAAAAGTTTGAATACAAGGGCAATAACTCAGAAATTATAAAGGTATCTTCTTGCCGCAAAACATTCTCCTCCAATAGATCCATCACAATAAGTTTTATGCGTTGAAATCTCAACCTTTGAGTTTTGCTCCACAGTGTTGAATTAGTATGAAGTACAAGGCAGTTACCTCAAAACTATGAAGGTTGGTCTATCATCCTTTTTTCACACACTCTGATAGTCAGTTTAACTATGAAGTTTCATGTTGTATTTCCATGGCTGTTTGAGTTATAGTGAACCCTCTACTTTTTGAGATAAGCTCTGGACAAAAGTATGAAAATAC